TGTCAGACTCCCAGGGGCAGGGGTCTTAGGTAACTTTATAGGCTTTCCTGAGTTCCAGGCTTGGTTGAGCCTTGCTGATCATGATGCACTGAAAGGGCTCTTGGGCAATTGCTATACCTGGAGATCTTTGTTATGTAAAGTATTCTGGCCCAGGCCTTAATGGCCCACCCATTAACAAAGGTGGGGGGGGGGGCTGAGTTCCTGCCTCTCTGAGTTTCTACTTTACTCTTTTTAGGGGAAATATTCTGCCCTTTTAATATTTCCCAGGATATTTCATTTTTCTAGGAGAGATTTCTAACTTCTTACCATGATAAAAGCAACTGAGGAAAAGCAAACTCTGGATTGTGCAAGAAACCCAAGGAGCAAGAAAGCAAAAAGGTTAAAACATTCATGAGGGAAATGGAACTGTTAGATTTGGATGATGGGATTCAATAAATTTCTCTGGAAGCCTCATTGCCCACTGAGAAGAAAACATGTACGGACTTGGCTCAATGATAACATCCAGCAGTCCCAGAGATCCTGTTCAGTGGTGAGGGTGGGATGCTAATTTCAGCAACATTTTTTGGTGTGTGTGGGGGCAGTTATAGAATCATAGAATGTAAGGACCAGAAGGGACCTTGGAGATCACCTAGCCAAAACTTCTGTCCAGTGCAGGAATCTACTACAGGTAGTCCTCGAGTTACAACAGTTCATTTAATGACCCTCCAAAGTTACAACGGCACTAAAAAAAAACCTGACTTACGACCATTTCCCACACTTTCGCACTATTGCAGCATCCCCATGGTCATCTGATCAAAATTCAGATGCTTGACTCATATTTATGACAGTTTGGGGTCACATCACCCCCTTTTGTGACCTTCTGACAAGCAAAGTCAATGGAGAAGCCAGATTCCACGGTTAACATCCGTGTTATTAACGTAACAACTTCAGGGTTTCACTTAACAACTGTGGCAAAGAAAGTCATAGAATGGGGCAAAACTCACTTAAGAAATGTTTCACTTAACAACAGAAATGTTGGGCTCGATTGTGGTCATAAGTTGAGAACTACCTGTATTATAATATTCCCCAACACGCATCCATCCAGTCTCAGTTTATATCCCCTCCAGGCAGGGGTGGGATTCAAATTTTTTAACAACCAGTTCTGTGGGCGTGGCTTAGTTGGTGGGCATGGCTTGGTAGTCATGTGACTGGGTGGACTTGGCTTGGTGGTCATGTTATTGGCTGGGCATGGCCAACTCCATATCACTCACATCGAGGCATGCATCTCCTCGCCTGGCCTCTCATGACTGTGGGGATGCTGCAACAGTTGTAAGTGTGAAAAATGGTCATAAGTCACTTTTTTTCAGTGCCATTGTAACTTTGAATGGTCACTCCACACAAGCAAAGTACCAGCAAAGGAGGGGAAAAAAACTCCAGAAACATTCCTGAGACAGGAAGTCTAGTCCTGCTAAGAATGTAAAAAGGGTTAACTGAGAGGCAGTTTCTGTAAGCAACACCAGAATGTTTCCTTCCTGCCTTCCTTACAGGATTAGGCCAGTAGTTTCTTCTAACAACCAGTTCTCCGAACTGCTTAGAATGTTAACAACTGGTTCTAGTGAATAGGTGCGAACTGGTAGAATCCCACCCCTGCCTCCAGGAAAGAAGAGTTCAGGACCTCTCAGGAGAGTCTCTTCCAATATGGAACAGCTTTCACATTTCTCCTGATCTCCTTTCAAAGCCTGCTTCTTGGAATTGAAACCCCTGTTTCCTATTCTGTCTCCTGACATAAAACAGGACAATTTCTTCCCCATCTCCTACATGACGACTCTTCAAATACTTGAAGTTAATATCATACATCTTCCTGCAGGCTTTTCTTCTCCAGGCTAAACATACCAAAAGCCTGTAACTCTACCTCTTATTTTTTTGCCCCCCAGGACCCTCATTGTCATAGTCACTCTTTCTGGACCAGCTCCAGTTTGTGTGACATTTGTCAATGTCCTTTCTATGCTATGATGGTGCCTACAATATTCTAAGTGTAGCCTGAGATGATGCAGATTAGCGAGAAACAATGTTTTCCTGATCTTGACATTATAATTATGTCGGAGTTGCATTTGTTTTGGTTTTTTGCAGCTGCATCACCTTCCTGGCACACATTCAGCTTCACCAAGACACCCAGATCCTTTTTGCATTGCTGCCAAATATGCTTCTTCCATCTTTCTATGATGTCTTTGTTTTCCCCACACTCAAATGCAAGGCTTTGCACTGGTCACTATTAAACATTATCTTGCTGTTTACTGAATATTGGTCCAGCTTCTCAAAACTCTCCTCTATCCTATAAGGCCATGATGGCGAACCAATGGCACGCAGGCCAGAGGTGTCATGCAAAGCCCTCTATGCAGACACACAAGCCGTTGCCCCAGCCCAGCTCCACCATGCGTGTCTCCCGCTGGCCAGCTGGTTTTCAGGTTTCTGCTACACATGCATGAGGGTCAGGGGGCATGCGGGGGGTGTGCACACATGCACAGGGGGCAGGGCGCATGCAGGGGGAAGGGGGCATGTGCGGGGGACATGCGGACATTGCATTTTGGTGGCAGGGGTGGGATTCTATTGGTTCGGACTGGTTCTATAGAACCGATTGTTATGATTCTGCGCAGTTCGGAGAACCGGCAAATCATGCCCCTGGCTGGCCCCACCTCTCTCTGCCCGCCCTCCCGTCCCCACCCAGTCAGTCCTTATCGCATATGGAGTATTGTTTTTGTGAGGAAAACAGGAGGAGGGGGGGAACATAGATATGTTCTCTACGTTGAGTTATTTATAAAAATAATAAAGATTGGGAAAAAACTTTAAAAGTATATAATTTGAGGGGGGGGGGGTGTCGGTTATTTTTTGCTGTTGATATTTGTTTTATAGTTACGTGTCACCCAGACTCATATTGCAAGTTATATTTAATACGTTAAAAAAAAAAACCATTCTCTTTATGTTTGTGTCTTCTGCAAAGCTGAATGCTTTATTTTCTAGCTTTTCACCATAGTCATTTATAAGATAGTTGAACAACACAGGACCTAGAATACAACCCTGTGCATTTGTGACTCAATGCTTCCTTCAAGCTTCATTTATTCATTTATTTGAATTCATATTTATATCCTGCCTTTATTATTTTTACAAAGAACTCAAGCTGGCGAACATATCTAACACACTTTCCTCCTTCTATTTACCCAACAACAACCCTGTGAAATGAGTTGGGTTGAGAGAGAGTGACTGGCTCAAGATCATCCAGCTGGAACCATTGCTGTATATTCATTGGTTATGATTGTTTTTCCCTCTTCTCTATAGAAAGACTTGGAAGATTTTGCTGCATGCTTCACTGAAGTTAAGCAACACTACAAGCATTACATTCTCATGGCCAACTAAACTAGTCACTGCCCCCCCCCCCAAAAAAAAAAAAAGTTGTGAGGGCTGGATTGACATTTTTTATTCCTGATAAACACATGCTTGCTCCTACAAACAATGCATCTTTCCTAAATGCTCATAGACTGATTTTATGAGTTTTCCCCAATAGTGATGTTAAAGCTGGTTTGTCTGCAGTTACTTAGCTTTTCTCGTTATTCTTTTAAAATATTGGAACGTCATTTGGCCTTCTCCGATCCTCTTGCATTACATTCATAGAAAAGGGTTTTGAGAAGACATCTAGAACAGGCTTGTCCAACCCGCGGCCCATGGGCCGCATGTGGCCCAGGTCGGCTCGTAATGCGGCCCAATGCAATTTTTTATTTTTTAAGAAATTCCAAAGTTTCAAGTTACACTGCCGGCGCTTGCGGCCGGAATGCGGCCGGGGCACGTCACAACGGTATATGTTCCTAGAGAAAAATATCCTTCACTTCACAATCATGCCTTATTCATGTCATCGCTATTTGGAAGCACCTACATTTGTGAGCAGCTATTTTCAAGGATGAAGCACACAAAGAATAAAACTAGAACCAAAATATCTGATGAGCACCTTGAGCACTCACTGAGAATTGAAACAAGTTCCATCGAAGCAAATATGGATGCATTGGTGGCTGAGAAACAATGTCAAACATCTCACTATCTTCATTTCCAAGTAAGTTTAATATGTTAACTATGTTTTCTATGGTTTTTTTTGATGATCAGGTATCGTTACTGTTATTTTATTTTATGTGCGGCCCAAACCAAATTTTCATCTTCTAATGTGGCCCAGGGAAGGTGAAAGGTTGGACACCCTTGATCTAGAACTTTCTGAAAAACTCTTAGCTTTAATCAGTCTGATCCTGAAGAATTAAACTCATCCATATAGCCAGGTGTTCCCTAACCATCTCCTTAATTATTTGGGTTGCTATTCCTACCTTTTGTCAATGTGTTAGCTTAAGTCTATTACAAGTTGAGCACTTCTTATGCAATAAATCAACCAACTGATGTGTCATACTTATCGCTTGAAAGTGAAGAACTAATTCTGTAACTGAAACCCATCCATATTAAGCATCACAAAAGCAAAACATTTCCAAATTTCAAAATGCAGTATAGATTATATGAGAATTCATTGAGGAAGGAGATGAATCTAGCTGATATTTTGCATTTTTCTAGACTCAGTAACCATAGTAGCTATATTGGAGGATGAATTTGCTATGATTGCATTTAGTAAGTGCCATCAGCATAATATTGATATGCAGTGATGATTAAACTCTGTCCTATCTAAGCAAGTCACTGCATCTGTCTTTATAAACCAAGGCAGACAGTAGTTTCAGCTGAGAAGCAGGAAAGGTATGTGATTCTAGATATAGTTTTGTTTGCTGGATATAAGTAACTAGGTTGTTTTTATTTTCTCATTGTTAAGAATATGACTTGTCATGCAATACCATCAATAGAATAAATATTTCTTTTACAAGAATTGTTTCATAAAATATACTATTGACATTGGTTTAACAATTCACCAGCAAAGGATAACTGGCAGACAGGGAGAAGTTACAGCATTGGTAACTTTGATCATCTCTCGCTTATTGTCTTACCATGTGACGGTGTCTGGTTTGCAGTACTTAATAGCAGGTGGTTATAATTTTGCTCTTGGTCACCTGAAATTCAATAAAAAGAAAATGCCTTTTAAGGAGCAGCTTATGGAGGCTCAACAGAGCTGCAGGTAATAATTATATCTCACATTATTCATGGGAAATTTCTGCATGATTAAGGGGAAGAAAATGCTTAACAAAGGGGAAGTGTCTTTCATGTTGGCCTCTCAAAATCTCAATTGCTAGAGAAACATATTAATGAACCCGTTGTACTGAGATTATAAATTGGATAATCAGAGGCAATTGTGACACAAATTTTTGGCACTGAGCATGTAAGCTAGTATGTTTCAGGGCTTTTAACATTCAGCATACATTGCACACATTTAGGAGAGAGAAACATGGTTGTGCTCTTCAGACTGCCTTCCCCAAGGACAGATCCACAAAGAGTGAGATAGTAGGGAACACAAAGGAGCCTGGCTGTATTTATTTCCCTTTAGATATGTGTGTTCAATACATGGATATTGGGTTGAGGCCAGCAGCAAAGGCATGTTCCTGCTCCAGCAGATTAGTAGGATGGCTGAGTTATCCAACTGTTTTTCAGGATATAGTAATAGCAGAGGTTTAATATGTGGATCCAGCTTTTTCTCCAAGGTGCTACCTCCTGGGTCAGACACAGCCAATACTGCAAATTCCTTGTCAACTCCCTCTTGAAAATCCAACAAGAGTTGAACACAGTGTAACCATTTCTGGAATAAATTGAATCTCATTCTCTAACAGACTTTCTACTGACCAACAGCAAATTCGTCCTACTGGGATTCAATCTTACCTTTATCTGCATGTGGTTAAATCTAGATAGTGTTTAGGAGTATTGGCTGCCTTTTTAGACTCAACAAAGGATAGTAAAAATGAATGTGTTAGCATATCAGTAGTGCATCTTATTAAAGTCGCAGATGACCTCTGGAAGATGACAATGATGCTGGACCTCATTTCCCAAACATTACCTTCTGAACCTGATCTGAAGGCTGAAGCACATATCAATATAGTCATTGAGGGCCTCCTGAATGCACATAGGAAGAACTAGGCATCTCACCTTTGGAACTGCCACACATGGATGGGAGGAAAATAGCTATGTAAACCAAACAATTTCATTATTTTCATAAATCTATTTCCTATTTAATTGGTACACAGAGCTCTACCATATCTGATACTGCAGACAATAGTCATTGTAAAGAATAGTCATTGGTAGCCATTATTCCTCATGAATTTGAGGAATAATCTCACACAAAGCTGTCCACGTTGGTGCCCCTCAGTACATCTTGTAGTAGCAAATGACACAACTTACACAATGGGCTATATGAAGATCAGTTATTGCCCAACATTGGATTAAACAAGAATAGAATGGGACAACTGGAACATATTTTTCCATCATTTTATGAACTCTTATCAAAATCTTTTCTTAGTTGCCTTTCTCTCTAAATCAATATCTCCCAGTGTTTTGATTTATTTGTTTAAATATTTATAAACCATTGCCTACAGTTTCTTTCTCAAGGCAATGTACAAAATACAGCAATTCATCTTTGAAGGTGAAATGTTTCCACCTCTTAACTCATATTGATGTGTATTTGCCCGTTTATTGCTCATTGCCCCAGGTCAGAATGAGCAGTTTAGCATTGAACCACCCTAAAACATTTAGCAAGGTCAGCAGTTCTAGTCATGAATGATGAAGTGGTTCTAGATATTCACAAAGCAATCAGGATCAAAGTAATATTACAAGGACTTCCAGTTTGAGCTTCTTCAGCGACAGACCGAAGCCTCGTCTCTGCGAGGCTTTGATCCGTGCGCGCCGCTGGAGCGCCCCGAGCCGGCTGGTTTTGGGGCTAAGCCACCCCGTAGAGGTGGTGAAGAGGGGGTAGACTGCCATCAGGGTTGAGGAGAGCCTCATCTCTCCTCCCCAGCTGGCCATTACTCCCTTTCCCAAAGGCGGTTGCAGTGGTGGTCAGAAATGGCCACCTCAAAGAAGAACTCGACCGGAAAAGAATGTGCAGGAGGAAGATAAGAAGTGAAGGTTTTGGTTGACTGGGTCAAACAGCAAAAGCTGTTAAAAACTGACAGCTAAGAGACTTAAGCAAGAAATTGGAAAAAAATCCACTTTGACATCAATAGGCATTTAATGCTGAAAATAAAAAGTCAAAGGGATAATAAAGATTTCTGGATAATTAAAAGCTTTTGAAAACAGGAAAGGAGAGAAAAAGAATAAAAGGGTAGGATCTGGAAGGAACAAGACTGCCTGGAATTAAAAAAGAACTTACAGCAAAATCTCAACAAGACTTCCAAAAGATACATTCTAACTGAAATATCGCAACAAAAACCCCAGGAAGAGAAAGTCGAAAAAGAAATAAGAAGATATAACTCGGGACTATCTGGATTACTTGATGATTTCTGGATTCTTGGTTATTGTTTTGAATGACTAAAATCAATTGGGTGGTTGTTTAAAACTGTTTAAAATGGTTCCACTTTTAGAAGAACTGAAAATGGAACTTAAAAAGTACAAAGAAGATGCACAAGAAGGGAGAGGTTCTTTTGGCTTCGCATTTCAGTTTTTCGAAATGGAGATTTGGAATTATGAGAAACAACAAGAAATGCCTGCAGAACAAGAAGATTGCGACAAAGAAGAAGCCACCTTTAATGAACAAGTAATCTTAGATGGGGGAAAAAAAGGAAAGGGGGGGAAAGAGAATGGAAAGTTTAAGATTGGGAAAAACAACTCCCCCCCCCCCAAAAAAATAGAGTGAAAAATAAGTATAAAATCAGAAAGCAACAGAAGAGGGAAATGCAGAAGAGAGAATTAGAACTAGAGAGACAAGGGGGTAAAAAGGGGAGGGAGAAGATGAGAGGGAAGAAAGAAAGGAAAAGAAGTTATAAAGGACAGAAGCAAAATATAGAGAAACAGGGCCTATTTAGAGATAATGGGTGAAAACTTAATGGAAAAAGGGATTCTGCAAAGGTACATAAGATAGTATGGTTATATTAGAAGCAGAAATAATTTTAGAAAATATGAAACAATGTATGATTAAAATGTCTGATAAAATAGCTATTGTAATTCAGTGGAATGCTTGTCAATAAATAAATGTAACAAAAGGTATATTTAATGATTTATAAAACATATGTGAAGAGAAATAAGGGAAAATTAATTATGGAGATTATATGTGTTTTTAAGGAAGTATGATATTTAATTGAAAAGAAGTGTTAAAGATGTTAAGATTTTAATGATTATTAATGATAGAACTGAACTGGAATGGAACGAGGGTTTATAATTACATATATTTACAATCTTTCTTTCTTTTTTTAAAAAGAATATAGTGTGTATTATAAGAATGTGCCAAGCAGAATTCGATTGGAAGTTATGTATTATGTATTATATTGAAGGTCATAAACTTAAGGTACATATTGAAGTTTAAATAAGAGTTGAATGGATGTAATTAAAAGATATAAAGGTGTCATACTCCAATTAGTAACTACAGGAGAAAATTTGTTTAATGAGAAAAGATAATATGAAATTGAAACAGAACAGACAAAAGTATAAATATAATGATTTGAATTGAGATGAGATAATCAAAATAAAATTGAGAAAATTAAAAGAGGGGAAAAACTATATAGAAAATGTAAAATAGTATAAGATATGGAATAGAATACAAAAAGGAGCATGAAATTGAGTTTTGTGTCTGTATAAAGAAGTTCAACCCGGGACCATGCTATTTTCAAAAAAGATGTTTTACTTGTATTTTGTGTGTGAAAACCCAAATAAAACTTTATTTTTTTTAAAAAAAGTAATATTACAAGGAGACCTAGGTGATTCTCCCATTCAATTTCTTCTTCTTCTTCTAGAAACCAAATCTGGATCCAGGCCATGGATCTGGGAGGAAAGGAGAATTCTTATGCTCTTTATCATACACTGCAGCTTTTTCCTCCAAAGTTGTTTTTTTTAGGAAACGAAAGCTGATCTCCTATCAGCCATTTGTTTGATTCTAACTTCCAATCCTGTTTAGCTTAATACTGCTTTGGGCAGCTGTAGTTTCTATTAAGCTAATTGGTAGGTATTTGGTTCTATGCAGCACTTCCCATTCAAAGGGCCATCCAAGCAGCTGCTTTAATGTGCTTTCCTCCACTCCCTGAGGTGGTACAAAGTACTGTAGGTCACCATAATTTTTCTCTGTCTACATACAGTAGGTCAGTGATCCCCAACCTTTTTTACGCTGCGGCCTGGTACCGGCATCAGCTGGGCGCCGTGGCCCGGTACCGGCATCAGCTGGGCGGCGCCATCTTTTTTTGATGAAAACGTGCTTCCGGTGAGCTTTCTACCTGGAAAAGCTCACCGGAAGCGCTGGCGCCGCCATCTTTTTTTGATGAAAACGTTCTTCTGGTGAGCTTTCTACCTGGAAAAGCTCACCGGAAGCACTTTTTCATCAAAAAAAGATGGCGGCGCACAGCAAGCCAGCGGCCCGGTAGGAGTTGTTCCGCGGACCGATACCGGTCCGCGGACCGGTGGTTGGGGACCCCTGCAGTAGGTGGTCTGCATGCTGCCTCATTAATGAGTCAGTGAGTTTTATCATTCTAACAGTTTACTAGGTGGAAAGTTATTGCAGCAATTAGTAGATTTGCCTGCTGGTGGAAAAACATCCACCAAATATTTCCCCTACTTTGTATGTGGACAAGCTGGATGATGGAAGAAGTGAGTTTTGACAGTGATTGGTATAGTAAGTTTATCCACCTTTTACTACTTCATCTGCAGGGTGAGCGTAAGTTTACTATTTTTGCGGGAAGTCTCTACCACCCTGCTGATCTCCGGCAACTACTGAAATACGGCAGTCTGCTGATGTAATTATGTTCATGTAAATCTTAGGAAGAAGTAAAAAACAGAATGACGATGGTCATCATCATCACTGTAGTTAATTGTGATAAACCAGTGCAAGGATTAAGATAATAATGCAAACCCAGATGTCCTCTGTCATCCTACCTCTATGGGAAGGATGACGTCTTGGTACAGCAAAAAAATAAAATAAAAATCT